GCTCAAATACTAAACAACCTGCTTCCATTGAAGATATAAAGGGGGTTCATATTATAAGGTAAGGTTATAAAACCACCTTTTAAGATCATTTTAGTGAAAGTTTCATGTTCCTATCTCATAGAATTTAAGAACAATGATGAATAAATAATTTTCGAGCAAAATTTAAATGGCCGGCTGAATATATTACCGCAGGAGCCGCGGCCGCGGAATTTAAATGACCACGTCAAAGGGTTAAATTTGGTTTGGTAATGGTAAAAAATGGAACACTGAATAAGCCATGTAAAACTATACAAAATATTGTTTACATAGTAGCAGTTACAAACAGCAGTTGGAAACAACATTAAACAGAACAGTAATCAGTTATTATATGTTTCTCAGAAGGGATGAAAACTTGATGAAGCATACTGTTTCAGAAATTTGTCATTCCCCAATCCTTCTGCATTTATTAACAATCACAGTTCATATCGAAGACAGTTGTCTCTTGGTATGTGATTTCATGTAGTGTGATATTGACATTTTGGAGCCATCTGCTGTGTCTGTCTTCTGCCCTAAAGATGGAGGAAACTGGTTCTTTGAGAGTATTGGTAACTAGCTAACAACTGCATGGCATCACATAGCAGAAGGCAGTACCCTTTGTAGTCACCGTCATGAGATGCCTCAGATTTCATGTGTCATATTTTTATTGGCTTCAGTACTGATTTCATCATGGGCATTCTCTGTTTTGACTGGGCACTATATTATTGTATATATTTGTGCCTGAAAAGGGGTTGTGCACCAGTCAAATATTGCGCAAAAATGTTAATCCAGGCAGTAGACAGCCACCAACATAATTGAGGTGTAAACATCATAAACATTCAGAGAATTACTATATCCCAGGTCTGACATGTACAGTGGTGGGGAGTACAGTGAAGCAACAGGGAGCCAAACATACCAGCAGCAGCAGTTGTACGAACAGCAAACACAGCAGACTCAACAATTTGACCTAGCCCAGCAGCAGACACTTGCCAGCTATGATCAGACAGGCCAGTATGACCAGCCACCTACACCTGTCAATATGGTGGCCCGCGTCCGTGTCACACGTGCACGTGTTCGTGCAGCAGCGGCTGCTGCAGCTCCTCCTCGACCTCCAGGTTTGTGCATATGTATGATTACCGTGGTGTCCAGGATTTGAAAAATACTTGCCTGAGGTGAGTTGATTTTGCAAATAGGCAAAGCAGTTCACAGTACATGGCCACGTCAGCCTCAGTAACTGATGCTGTTTCCTTCTGTCTCAGTCTTTAAACTGATGTTATCATTTTGGCAACTGTCTTTATCTGATTTTTCTTGTGTCAACTGTAGAATTCAAGATAAAGGAAAATGAAAGGATGTACTTAACATAAACAAGTGACCAAAAGGATTTTTGAGCAGCTTCTAACATGCATGTTCACTTTTCTGTGAGCCTTTATGAAGCACTGCCAGAAAACTCGATTACTGATGTATGGCTTCATTGAATGAATTTTTGCACTTGCATTTATTTTGCAGATTTCCACTTTTTTATAGCCTCCCCTTCAGTTCTCAAAATATCCCACACATTGAACATTTTCCAAGGAGCTCACAGCGCTGGATAACTCTTTTGTCAGACTGACAGTTGTGGATTTGATTTTGGATGCAAAATAGAGATTTGGCTATGCATGCACTAATGTGGTGTTAAATTTTAAAGTTGCTTTCATCACTTGTTAACACTTAAGTACCAGAAAAATGCTGAAACTGGCAGTTTGCAGTATTTAAAGAAGAAAAAATAGTTAAAGTATTGACATGTTCTTACTGACTTCTCCAACCTGTTGATATTGGTGTTGACTTGGGGGGGGAGTCATCTTTGTAACTTTGAAGAGACTGCTGCTGGGTTCACTATGCACCACAATCTTTTCAGGGCTACACAAAGAGCCCTGACTGCAATGCTAGAGCTGGAACCATCTTGCCCAGTGTCCTGAAGACCTCAGTTCTGTTACTAGGTAAAACGTGGGAGTGACAGATGGTACAAAGTGTAAAGTGGAAGGATTTGCCTTGTGCACACAGTTTGTGCACATAATGCTTTCTGAGAGGCCCATATTTGTTTACCACCTCAGTGAACAGTGGGAAATCAGTAGCCTACAGTGTTTCCTGTACCTAGGCCAGTAAGTCCCTGGAGAGTTTTTACAAGGCCTTTCTACAAAGAGCTTCAGCTGTCAGGAAGAAGAGTCCCATTCTAATCAAAATAAGGAGCAGCCTCCCCCCACCTTGTTTACCATGTCTGTAGATAGTGTTGGAGCAGTAGCTGGATTGAATGTGTATTGTATTTCAGCCACCCCAGCACCACTGACAACTACAGTAGTTACTACACGACGGGGTGGTATAGCAGTAGAGGAGCCAAAAAAGCGACGTCCAGGCAGGAGGCCCATTTCAGAGCTGATGGCTGAGGATGAGAACAGCTTGTATTACATCATCAGACAGGGGAAAGTTTCACTACAGGTTGGCATTGTTATATTGTGTTGTTAACACATTTATTGTCTTTCCCCTCTCAGGACTGTTAGAGTCAGTTGAGTTATTTGATTGGTTAGTGACTGAGTTAAACAGTGAGAGAGCTGCTAAGGTTCAGTCATTGTGATCTGTTGCTGTGAGAAGCTGGTAGCCGAGGCCAGGGACAGTTCAGCAACCCAGAGTAAGGGGAGCATCTGCCATTGGAAGCCACTACTGAGCAATGGCTAGAGAAGACTGAGAAGACTGTATGTGTGCTATTGCTAAAGTGACCTTTGTAATGTGTAATTCAGTGACACTGCCTTAGTTGTTTGTAGTCACAGATCTGTAAGAGTTCAATAAATCCAATTACCAATCCAGAACCCTTCTGTAGTCACTTCATTTCACTTCACTTTATTCTAAATTCCATAGATCCTTTGAGGTCACGCATTCCATAGGATATAGAACATGTCAAAATACATAAACACATCCTAAAGACAATGGACCCATCAACATGCAATACAGTCACAGTACAAAATTTGTACATAAAATATTCAAATATGATCAGATTTATGCAGATATATGGTTATCATTGTGACAGTCATAAATTAATACAAAAGACCTATTCATAATATAGAAGTTTGATGCATTTATCTCCATCACATAACTACAAATACTTAATTTTACAGTCCAAATATAATACATTTCATCAGGATTTAAAAATTAGAATATATAATAAAAATTCGCTATATACAATCACTCATTTCATAGCAAGAACCTTAAAATTTGAAAACTATTAATGAACATATTCCTCTACAGGATAAAAGGAAATAAGCTGTAAGTAAACCATTCACAACCATCTTAATTGTTTACTGTAATGTGTTATTTAAAACAGATGGTCTATTACAATAACATACTTCCATACTTATACATGTAACAATATTATCTTCTTTCAAGTGGTTTCTTCTCTTGAGATCTTCTAACGAATATGTTATCCACTTCTTAGAATCTTTGTTCATACTGGCACATCCTATAATTTATTTGTTAAGATGTACCTTTTCTTGTAATAAATGTTCTCTTCTTTTCCAGGCAGTTGTGGATGACTGGATAGAGAGTTACAAAGTGAATCGAGATGCTGCGCTGTTGTCATTGATGCAGTTCTTTATTAATGCATCTGGATGCAAGGGTAAAATCACATCATCCATGCAGGCTTCCATGGAACATGCAGCCATTATACGAAGGATGACAGAAGAATTTGATGAGGTAATTGTATTCATTAGCCGGTCACGGTAGCCGAGCGATCTAAGGCGTGCACTGTCTTCGCTCGCTCGGAAGCCGGGATCGTGGGTTCGAATCCCACTCAGGGCATGGAAGTTTGTGTTTGTGTACAGGTAGAGGCCTTGCGACGAGGTGATCACCCGCCCAAGGAGTCATACTGAATATCTAAGATCTAGAAAAATCGAAGTGAACGGAGAAGTTCATGGAGGTAGGCCTAGGCCCACTGGGGCTGTAGTGCCAAGAAAAAAAAAAATTGTATTCATTGCTATGCAGCAAATATCAAGCACATGAAATGAGGAGTTACAGGAAAGAAATCAAAAGTAATTCATTTTTATGATTTTCTGTTATGAGAATCAAGTGAATAGCAGATTGAAACTGCGTTAAGCATGAGTAAATGAAGTTGAACTATAAGAGAACTTGGAACAGTTTGGAAGTAGAAAAGCTGTGTTTGTGTAAGGTTTTAAACATGACTTCTGACAGTGCAGTGAAAATAAGTAATATGTTGGAGCTTGTCATATAATTCACACACCCTCAATTTTTGTTATGAAGTTAGAAAAAGTTAAATTTTGTATATTTCACACTTTTCATTCTTTTATATGAAGGATAGCAGGGATGGTGTACTTTCATGATAGACCATTTTCATGAGTCCATCATATGTCATACATCCCAGCGGAGGTGGAAGGTGAAGATATTCTTTTATTAAATCTGTTAGAGCGTACTTTTGGTTCCTTTAAAGCCTGTTATGGGAACTCACATGAGTATAGGCATTACCTTGGAGTAGAAACAAAAAAACATTGAAAGAACATGCACTTTGTAAGTTCTGCTTGAACACTGCTGTAGTTAGTAAACGTTTTTGTATTCTAGGAAAGTGGTGAGTACCCACTCATCATGACAGGCCAGACCTGGAAGAAGTTCCGCAATAACTTCTGTGACTTTGTGCAGATCCTCGTCAAACAGTGCCAGTACTCAATAATTTATGACCAGTATCTCATGGACAATGTTATCTCTCTCCTCACTGGTTTGTCCGATTCTCAGGTCCGAGCCTTCAGACATACCGCTACACTAGCAGGTAAATAGACGTTGTGTTATTGTTAGAGTGCTTAAAATTATCTCATATTGGATAAATTATATCTTTCTGTTGGCTTGCAGGTCATGTTGTATTTGAGAAATGACTGGATGATTACTGATTTTCTGTTGTTTTTTTTGGGGGGGGGTGGTAGTCTGTAGAAACAATTCTTAGGTAAATATAATTTAGGCATGTTATTGTAGTAAACTCCTACTCCAAATGGTGCTCAAAATCAGGTCAAATCTATTGCACATTTCAGAGGTTGATGATAGAAGGAGTATGGAGCAATGGTGGAATGGTGATTAGCAAAGAGAAATTGAGGTAACGCTGAGAGAATCCTGCTCCAGTGCCACTTCATTGCCCTGAATCTCACATGAAGTCATCCAGGATTGAACTCCAGGATGTCAGTATCTCTCTGCCTGAGACATAGCGTAGTCAGTGTAATCACTATACTGACTGAGCTACACTGACTTATCTTAATAATTTTGGTTGGCTTTACAGAGAATAAATGTGGATCATGTCAGATGACAAGTGAAGTTCTTTTTGAAGAGTTTCATATTCTGGGATGTAATGTCATTTAGTCCATTGAGAAGCAAGCAACGTTTTTGAGGAACATTTCTTCCGTCTTCGTGTTCGAAGAATAAGCCAAATAAGAAACCAGTATGAAAGCAGGTTTCAAGCAGAGCAAGATGGAGGCAGTGTTCCTCCGAAACATTGGTTGGATTTCAATGGACTGCATGGTGTTATATCCTAGTAGAGAGAACTCTTTGTAACCACTGCTGTGAGAACTTCAGTTCCTACAAAATTCTTTTTGCTTGACAGCCATGAAGCTGATGACTGCTCTGGTGGATGTTGCTCTAACTGTGTCTGTGAACTTGGACAATACTCAGCGGCAGTATGAAGCAGAGAGGCAGAAGGCACGTGACAAGAGAGCCAGTGACAGACTGGAGTCCCTTATGTCAAAACGGCAGGAGCTGGAGGAAAATATGGATGAGATAAAAAACATGTTGACCTACATGTTCAAGTCTGTGTTTGTGCACAGATACAGGTAAGACAAGAATTGTAGTGGTGACTCTTTGCCTTATTTTGATTAATGGTAAATGGAAGCAGAGGGGGGGGGGTCTTCTAGACACATTGAACAAGGTCAGGAAATTCCATAATCCTATGAAGCCATAAATTCATGTAAATAATATTTCATTATGCAGTTATTACCTCTCTGATAACATACTGGCTTGCCATTGCAAAGACCAATTGTTTACTGCTGTTTAGCAAAATGAATGTGGTTTATTTTTAGAATTGTAAAAAAACACATAAATGTACTGTGTAAAAAAAATTCAGAATTTGAATATTTTAACAGGTCATACATATTCAGAGGAATCTCTTTTAGTAATCCTTGATTTAAGGTTTTCCCTCATTTAATATTAATTTTTATTGATCTCAGGTCAATAACTCAGTGTTTTATTTCCTTCATTTAAGATTTCCCACTGTTCTTGAAATCCACTGCTACCCAGACAAACCCTAACTTGGGGTTTCACTGTATTAAAGTGTTCAGCTAAACACTTGTACACTGCAGATGGAGGCAGCAGGTTCCATTGAAAGACTGAGACCTTTCTACCAGACTAAATGGTGTCACATCCCAAAAGACAGTAATTTTTAAATTAAACCAGTTAGGAAAAATACACATAGCAGTTCTGGTGCATTTGAAATTTTAGTTCCAGTCAGAAATTGATACATTATTGTAAAATAACCCATTCTTCTTTTTGATGCCCCTTGTGAGATTAAATTGGAACCCTCCAATTTGTGTAATCGCTGATCACAGGGACACGTTGCCAGAGATCAGAGCAATTTGCATGGCTGAGATTGGTGTATGGATGAAGAAATTCCACCAGAACTTCCTGGATGATTCGTACCTGAAATATATTGGCTGGACTCTCCATGACAAAGTTGGAGAAGTTCGTCTCAAATGCTTACAGGTAAGACGTGGTGCAAGGTAAAAAAGGTAAAGCTATCCCTGTACCAGGCAGTGTAGGCCCTTAGGGTTGTGAGATGTTGAGGCTCCCACATTATCTAGACAATCTGCTCAAAGATGGCGGTAAGGTTGTCAGCCTTACGCCCTGGCCTCGCTTTACTCCCCACGAAAATTATTTAATTAATTCCTGGTGCTCATTTATGTTAGAGGCTGAGTAAACCCCAGGGCCTAGTGTGGCTGCAAGGATTAGGTCAACTGAAAAAAATCCAATGACTTCATCAGGACTTGAACCCGTGACCTTCCGGCTTGTAGCATAGCCCATCAACCAGCTACGCTACCGCGTGCCCCCTGTGGTGCAAGGTATTCCTTGAAAAGTTTATGGATACTCAGTAAGGTATCCCAGATGTTACATGATAATCCTTGGCATAGACAGCCATAAGCATGGAAGGGGAACCTGTATTTCTTTAAATGGTTCAGTGAATGATCAAGACTTGTTATTATACAGGCCTTACAGCCACTTTATGCAAGTGAAGAACTGAAAGGCAAGTTGGAACTTTTCACCAGTAAATTCAAGGACCGCATTGTTGCCATGACACTGGACAAGGAGTATGATGTTGCAGTGCAAGCTGTACGCTTGGTCATCAGCATCCTCAAGTGAGTACAGTGATGTGACGTTCATTCATTCATTCATTCATTCATTGTTGGACGAGGTGGGTTTCCCCAAGCACTTAGACCAGGTATTGGTCCATTGTGCATCCCCCTTTAATTTCTACTGTCTCCATAACCTACCGGTACTGGTGCCCGTTATCAGCCCCTTTCTGTCAGCGAGGTCGGTCCTCATCTGGCAGTGGTATCTAATACTTCCCCCATCTACTGGAGGCATTGGAAACTACTTGGGCGGGAAAATTTGCCTAATTAAGCTCAGAGGTCTCCTAGAGACGTGAGGTTCTTTTATGTGCCGTAAATCTATGGCACAGGACTCACGGCTTAAAGTCCCTCCCGGAGGACTTGTTCCTTGAATTTTTTCCGCCCTTAAAAATTCCACGGCCTCCGCCTGGTTTGAACTTGCGTAACTTGAGTCATGAGGTGGGAATGTTACCCGTACACTACGGAGACCGTTGTGATGTGACGTTACATAGTGTTAGGGTTCTGCTAAGGGAAGTGTTCTGCTGTGATGTTCAAATTCAGCAGCAGGCTTTTCTGTTATTCTGTTTACACTGGAGAATGACTTTGTTGCTTACCTGTTCCCATGGTACAACCCAGACATTTTCTATGGATGTTGGGTGAGGTGTTACTTGTGAAGGGTTGCAAGCAGACATCCATGAGTGTAAAAGCCTAAAGCCTACTATTCTGTCTTTGTGTAGCGAATCAGAGTTGCTAATAGTTACGGATACGACTGCCAGGTGGCAGTGAGAGGTATACAAGGTGTGGCAATAAAGAACCCGGATTACTTTTATGACTCATTTCCGGCCACGTCATTGACGAAGAGGAGGGTAGGGCATTGACCCTTGGACTTCCCTCTACCGTCACACAAAGTTTCATTCACGTGCATCGGTTAGTCTGGCCGCGACCATTGTTAGAAGCGGATCGTGTTTCTGAGCTCCGTCGGAATAATGCTGAGTGCTAATGCAGAACAACGTGCTAACATCAAATTCCTCACAAAACTTGGAAAATCTGCCACTGAAACTTACAATTTGTTGACAGAAGTATAT